ACCACACATCACAGTGAATGTCCATGAGTGTAATGTCTTTGAGAGGCTGCTTAGAGATGGTGGAGCCAATGAAAATCAATAGGAATCGAATAGATAAGCGATTTTGATAATGGAACTGGAATCACTAAATTCAGATTCCCTGGCCTACCTGAAAGTTTCACCTGTCCTCTGAACCTGATCAGTTGTCTTCCTGCATTCCTCAGCGAGGAGGCGCGTGACGTCAGAGACTCTGTGGAGAAAGTGAAGCGAGCACTGGAAGAAGCTCAGAAAGCTCAGACGGCTGCCAGCAGCGCTATCCAGCAGGCCACGGCCAACATCCACAACACCAGCCACCTGTTGTCCTCGGTGAGTCTCACGGTTACTGCCTGTTTACTCTGCACACGGCTATGTCCTATCAGAAACATGCAGGTAACATGTCAAATGTGTTGTGTTCAGGTGGAGTCGGAGACAGCAGATGCTGAGTTAAAGCTTTCAAATGCCACCCAGAGGCTGCAGAAGCTCGAACAGGATGTGACGCTGCTGAAGGACAAAGCTGTGAACGTTACTCTTAGTGCCAAACTGACCAATCAGGAATCAGTGAGCGTCAGAAGCATGGCAGAGGAGCTGAAGAAGGTGAGCTCACCTGTGTAATCATTAGAGGCTTTCAGGTTGGTCTGTTTCCTTTGTAAAATTAGGTGTTTCTGTTAGGAGCTGGACGGCGAGCTGAAGGAGAAGTATGCCACCGTGGAGCAGCTTATTGGTCAGAAGACGGGAGGCATGGTTGACGCCAAGAAGAGGGCACAGTCACTTCAGCAGGAAGCCAAAGAGCTGCTGCTGCAGGCCAGTGACAAGCTGCAGCTGCTGAAAGGTGACACCACACTGTACTCCTACAGGAAATGTTTCAAGCTGAGGAGGCGGGACATCCCTTCATGTATGCTCTTCCCTTTTCAGATTTGGAGAAGTCTTATGAAGACAACGAGCGCGCTCTGGAGCAGAAGGCAGAGCAGCTGGTGGAGCTGGAGGCAGCAGTGAAGGGGCTGCTGCAGGAGATCAGCCACAAGGTGACCGTCTACAGCACCTGTGTGTTTTAGGATCAGACTGAACGTCT